AATATTTGCCCTTAAGGGCAAATCTTTTGACCTTAAGTAGTTTATCTATTTTTTTACAGGATGGCGTGCCATAAATATGTCTTATCCATAGACACTGTGTATCGTACAGTCATGTACATGTACATTGAATCACTGTGCCTATTCATGTAAACATGCAAAGCAATTGAGGATAAACTATATGGGTGTATTGACAGACGTGGCTAGTACTTGGTTGTGAAACCGTCTGTCAAATTATCAGGCCTAGTTCTGTACAGTACATATAACGATCGAAGCAAATGACCTAAAACAAATCCTTTGTGTATTCAACGGATGTGAAGAAATATCAATCGCATGCATAAAGTTGACATTGTACAGTCACATAAACTATTTATTATCGTCAAAAAATGTGTCGTTATAGATTTAACACATTTTGACAGATAAGACCTAGATGTCTGGTGTTTCGGCAAGAGCGCATTACTAGTTGAAAACGTGGAATTCTCCGACTCCGAAGTCAACGTAAGGTTTTGCTAAATTTTGAGGTGCTGACAGCATAAATCTGTTAAAACACAACAGTCCTCGGTTTCAATTGGTCAAAATACCGTTTTTTGTGGGTGCAACTGGAGTTACTAAGGCCCCTTTCGCGTCTCCGGTTCAACCAATTGAAACGGTTGAACCTAGAGTTGGCTATTGCTAGTTTGCGTTATTCTTTTATGAAACAAGGTCAAGCTACATGTAGATTTTAAGATACGTTATATAATTAAGTAGACGCGTGAAAACATGACATATTATTTTTTATATATTGTTTGTTTTTCTCTGAAATAGTGCATTCTTTTTAGCTCTGCCTATAGTTATGTCCAAGTGCGTTCGTTTTATCGTGGAATATGTCCATGCCACCTGAAACGTTTCAACTGGGATACGTAAACGAAAACGGAATAGATTATTGTTGTTTAGAAAAATTCCGGACCGTTAGTTTTTTTTTCATAAGTCACTCTTTAAAAATGATCGCCGTAAAATCGATGAGTAGACGTCAGGTCGTCTTATAGTTTGTGCATAATATGAAAATATAAGGATTAAGCATGTTCATGAAAAATACTTTTTAAAATGGACACAGCGGAGGATAACATGTGGAATTTCTCCAAATGTAGGAATGTCACATAGGACCCATGTGGATTTTTTCACTATGAAAGTTGTTCTGCATCCGAAACAGTTGCAAAGGTACAAAAAAAACGTCAAAAATAAAGAGTTAATCCAGAACCTTACACCTTGAGAGAAAATGCCCTCAGGGACTGGCCAATAGTGATTGTCTCGCGGTAGTCGCTATTGTCACTCGGGTGGTTATAGCGACAGACTTATTTATTTCATCAAAAATGATAGGCAAACAATCCCCTAACAAAATATATTATATCTTATTCTATGATTAACTTATATACTTGGTTAGACTTTGGTGGTCATCAGGTAAGGTTAAATGGCCAAAAATCACTGTCAAAATCAATACTTTAACAGGTTTGAAGTACAATCAACGCTGTTCATACCACCACCACCCTGACAAGACTACCTGAGTTCAGTGACTAAATTTAATGTTCCCAATTGTAGTGAGAAACTGCATTAAAAGACAATAATACAGATTTGATTGCAAAAAGCTTTTGTACGTCATATCGTTTAACTCATGAACTGTCTTGTACACCAAAACATTAGATGGTGGGAGATGGGGTATCGGATGTATTGGCTAACTTCATTAACCGGATAATATGAACAGGTGCTGTCTATATTTATTGAGTGTGATAGTGCAGTTGATGTAAATATTGGGGTCCTTTTCTTTGTGCGTCATATCCAAGTAAAACTCGTCCCCGAAGAATGAAATTCTGGGAGCTGTAACGTTCATATACTCCCCTTCGTTATACTATCCGTTCACTGTGTTAAATAAGGCGGCTGCCTGGTGATCTGCTGGCAAATCTGTATGTATATCCCCACTTTCTATAACATGACTTTTTTTGTCCTGTTTGCTAGCTGTTGTTTTACTTGTCTTTCTATCTTCGAAGTTCATTTGTGAAACCTGGGGAATATCATCTACTTCAAGTTTATATGTGAATTCGTTTGGTTCCAATTGCGGATTTTTTTCTTGATCACTTTGGAATATCCATCCTACTTTATGTCTTTGGTCCTCTTGTCAATGTCACTTGCATGTCCTTTACCCTTCTTTTCTTCAGCATTTGCAGTACTCTGTTTTATAACCTGCGAGTACGCGTATTTAGATCGACTTTTTCCTCCCTCTTCAGGATGTATAACATTTTCCACTTCAGTAGACTTTGTTCGTTTTGCTGTATGGAAAAACTGTTCATTTTCGTATATCACTGTCGGCTCTTCATTTAGTTCCGCGGATTCTAATGTATCAACAATCTGATGATCGTCTTCAAAACCGGCTTCAGCCGCGACTAGCTGTTCTCTGGAAGTGACGCACTCTCGACTCGAGATGTAGGTGTAGAGTGGGTTGTCTAAAGAATTTCTGGGATTATCAGAAAGCTTTTTAGTACTAGCTTTACCACAACAAGTCCTGTTGAAAAAAAACACGATAATCAATGAATGTTTATCACACTTCAAATGTGCTTCATTCAAACCAAATAAACTTCACAGATGCATGCCCGTTTTTGTTAGGAAAAAGGTTAACATGTCTAACCCCTACCTAGGGAAGGAAGCCCACACGCGCTCTTACCCTGAAAATATCATCATCGTTTAATGACTTAATGTAATGCTTTGTCACATATTTTTTCCACCTTTATGAAAGATCAGTGCATTCGGTTTACAGTTGTAGGATGTTCTGCGATAAGAAAGTGTGAAGGAAATGTAAGAATCGTTTGATGATGAAGACAGAGCGATGCAACCCTAAGGGTAAGAATTTTGAAGCATAACATTCGCCGAAACTTCATGCAAAGCTTAAAATATCTTACTCCCGGGTTGCGATTTCTATCTCAATACTAGAATCACACAGGAATGATTGATCCTATTTAGTTTGCAGTCAAAATGTTGAATGCGAAATAATATACCAAGTGCATATGTTCTCGTCGTTAAAATATATATACTACTCACATTTTGCTAAGGATCACTTTTATTTCGGGGCATATGTGAAAATAAATATTTTATTTGGTTTACATCGAGATTATTTTTGAAAAATTGATTGTTTTTTTAATTCATCAGCATGCAAAATTTCCAAAAATCATAATTACAGTCGGATAATGAGCTCAGGAAAAGGGTTACCATTAAAATTACAGATTCACAACGTCTGCGCATGCCCCAAATGAGATCGCGTGTCCGGTTTTGTGGGATAGCGTTCCACGCAGCTACCAAAGCTGTTCCCAGCTCCTGGAGCGTTCTTGGCTAAACATTTCTGGCAGAGAGAGCAGCTTTCTGCAGCATGTCTCACATATGCTCGATGGGATTAAGATCCGGCGAGCAGGCTGGCCAATCCATTCGTTGAATAGTCTCTTGCTGTATATACTGCTCATTCGCCCTTGCTCTATGTGGCCTAGCATTATCGTCCATAAGGACCGATAACGCCAGCGTAGGGTCTGACATATGTATCAAGTATTTCATGGCAGGGAATCCGGGTCGTAACGGTACCATTATGGAAGAAATGGAGGTTAGTTTTCCAACGAAGGCATATGCCTCCCCATACCATCACTAAACCTCCGCCATGTCGGTCATGTTCCACAACGTTACCTGCCTGGAACCTCTCCCCATATTGTCTCCATACTCTAACACGCCTGTCGGTGAAGTCGAGACAGAATCTGGACTTGTCAGTAAAAAGAACCGGCTCGCATTCCTGAAGAGTCCAAGTGCTGTGAGCTTTGGCCCAATATAATCGGTCCCTTACATGGCGGGCAGTTAAAAGAACTCGCATTGCTGGTCTACGTGTCCTTAAACCAGCATCATGAAGACGGTTCCTAACTGTCTGGGTGGTTATCCGGGTACCAGAAGCATTAAGAAGGTCATTTCGTAAAGCTGTGGCAGTCTGGAACCTGTGAGGCCGTGCCTGTATGAGCAAAAATCAGTATCGGCGCTGCGTTGTAGCCCTAGAACGAACTCCAGTATGACGTCTGGAAGGGTTTCCGTTAGTTTGGAAACGATTCCACATTTATTCTTGCCACCACACTTTGAGACACCCAAAGGTCTGCTGCAACCTGACATTGAGATATGCTAGCTTGCAGCATACCGATGCCCCTAATCATTTAAGTCATTTTAACCGTTGTCTGGTTCGTCTTTGTGCCATATCAAAACAAAAGCACGAAAAGAATATTCATCAATTTGATTTCCTTGACAATTTGAAAAACGCCTTCTTTAGCCTATCTTAGCTTTTGAAAGGGTTGTACACTTGGAAACACTCGCACGCGCTTTGATGGTTGACTGAACACACCCACACAGGACGATTTGGACGGCTAACAAATTCGCCCAAAACAGTAAGGAAGGAAAACATAATATCCTTTCTAACATTTTGATTTTTTTTTCAAAATATAGGTGATCCTTAGCAAAATGTGAGTAGTATATCTAGCATTTGATTAAGTCAGAGGCTTTATAATAAGCATGGCCAATAAATATGGTTTGGTATCTTCACCATGAAAGTGAGAAAGTTTCTCATTATACAGATTGATCGTTTATATTTTGCTTTTGACCTTCGTTAATATCCTTGAAAAATCCACGCTGACAATTTTAATTTGCCATCAGTCTTCGTCTGTCGTCGTGAATTTCAATAAATGTTGCTATTCTGCTTTATAATAATAACAGTTCTAACAAGATCGCAAGTGTTCTCAATCAGACAGTAACTGGCAGAGTTATGGTACTTTGAAATTTTAATTTCTATTGGAGACTATGGGACTTGAGCTTGCTGAGACGAGAAATTTTCGACTTCTCAAAATTATCTGCAGCAATTCACTTCTTTATTTGTACAAATGTTCCTTAAGAGGTTACGAACAAGTGTTCTGACTTTTTGTGTCGAACAGAAAATCCAAGATGGTCACTCTGACCTCTCATTGATTTTGTTTTACTTCCTCTCAAAAAAGGCTGCGGCGATTGACTTCTAACTTAGCAGAAGTTTTTCTTATGAGGTTTTGACCAAGTTTGTCACTTTTCATGCTGATTGTAAAATTCCAGATGCCCATCCTGGCTTGTGATTTGCTAGGACATTTACAACTTCCTTTGTACATTCATCTATGTAATTCATCTATACAGCATGTGTATGCCTGGTCTCCAGGTAAGTATGGGTCTATGCGCTTTCTCCAAGTAACTATGTGCCAATTTGAAAAAAAACCACCCATTCTTCAATTTGAGGGCCTCTTGCTATAAGCCACTAACAAACGAGAATAAATCATATGATTCAACATATAGTGTGCGCAGTTATCAATTTCGGCGTATTGACTGTATCGTTCGCGACGAAATAAATTGTTTGCTTAGCCACAGGTTTAGGTCATAGCGTTTAAATCTTAAAACATAAGAACCTTATTTGAATAATCAAAAGATATTTAGCATACTGAAGTGAAAGGTCATTAAGTTTTTACAATGAGTGACCATGATCAACTTTCAACACCACATGGGTAAATTTTACTAAACACTAAGAAACTTCTTCTGAATAACCAAAACAGTGTAATAACTAAATTTCGTGTGGTTATATCTGATTTCACCGTTATACCAGACAAGTGATATCAGGGCCGTTTATCGTTTAACCGGCCGTACCGGTTGGGCCAAAGTTGTTCGCTTGTTAAAAAGGGCATCCTCAGAAACCCACGTTCCGTTGTACTAGCGTTTATCGACGGTCGATAAACGCTAGTGAAATCGAACGTGGGTTTCCGACGGTGTAAATAGGGTCGGACCTAGTAACCTGATGCTGCTTTCAGGCGAGGCTTGACAAAGCTTGTAAGGCCTGCATAAACATTTGCAGGTCCGCCTGGTTTTATATCCGAAAATGTTACCTTTAAAGACGATCAAACCGGTTGTTCCGCATAAATGAACATGCACAAGTATTTGTCATGTATATTAATGGTTTAAAGGGCTATACAGTTTTGTTTCCGAATAAATGACCTAGATCAAAGTTGAAATACTTATGAGTTAAGACGTTTTAATCTTCCTTCAAATATTCATAAAATGTTGAGTAATACATTTTAAACAATGATTATTAATGTAAAAAAAAAATGATATTTATCCTGTTCAAAATAAAATCTTTACCTTGTCCCACAATGAAGGTAACAGACACGAGATGACTACCAGACGATTGATATAACCACTAAGGCGTATTGCATGATATATATGTTAAAAATTGGCTTTTCTCCCGTACTTCTTAACCGCAAGCAACGTAGATGGGGATTTTTGAATAGAAACATGCATATCCTATGCTCTTGCTTTATCAGTGCCTTGTTTTATTCAAAATAAGTGAAAATTCGATTAAATACCGCTCATGTAGTAACTGAAAAACAAACTACTCTAACGAGTATATATTAATGCCAATAGTAATAACTAATTAAAATATAACTACCTTCGGCATAAGGACACAAATCCTGTGATAATGACAGTTGTGAATCCAAGTGCAAATAATGCCGCACCAAAATAAAGACCGCTTCTGTTGTTCAAGACAAATGTCTCGTAATTGGTCCATAGTTGGTCCGGTAGTCCCTCTGCGAGCAAAACAAGAATAGAAAATATCTTATCTATTGTTTTCATAAAATACAAGTAGGGAATATAACCTTCAACCAACATTCGGCGTTAAATATGCAGTTTTGGGTGATCCTTCGGTAGCAGATATACGCCCTAGCCCAGACTTACACATTGCAAGGAGTCACAGTATGCGCCTGTAATTATACCGAGGCATTAATACAACATTGTTGGTCATTACCATTGACCAAACGAAAATACAGCATTAACAAAAGAGATAATCTAGACCACTGCGTCGACACATAAGGAGGAAGAGTCATGGAGCGTCAACGCACAAGGACAATATATAACAGAGCGTCAACACACAAGGACAATATATAACAGTGCGTCAACACGCAGGGAAAAAAGCTACAAAGACTTCAACATAATGGACTTCAAACTTTACACCTTATTCACTAAACGACAGCATGAACTGAGGGGAATGGCATGATACAATGTAAAAGGCAAAGGGCAAAGACAAAACTGAAAAGACAAACTTTCCTTTACATGCAATTATGTCTCTGATCCGAGCCCAGGAGCATGTGCATCTACATTCAACTTGTTAAGCCAAGTGCATTCACTGACACAAAATAAGATACAGTCAATGTAATCAGCTAAGATATTTTCAGCGTAGATGCATTCAGCATAATTTACGTAGGGACATTATAAACATAACAGCATTCATCGGTGTATGAACATCCCGTTTGAGAATCACAATACAAGTAGATATATTCGGGTAATTTGCGTAGATACATACATCATTGATACATACTATGTAGATACACTCAGCTAAATTATGAAGATGTAATCAGTTGAAGCAAGAGACACATTTAGTTTAATCCATATACACACAGTAATCCTAATAATTGGAAATATATTCACTGTGATACGTGAAATACTATCAGCGTATAATAAAGTAATCATTGATACATTTCGGGTACATATATTTAGGGTTCTTATTAGCTGATACAGAGTGCGTTAGCAATGTAGATATATGTATTCCAAGCAGCGTAGAAGAAGCATTCAGCTTAATAGCTTAATAGGGAAGACAGCATAAAGGCTTTCGTAGATCCCGTCATTGTCATAATCAGCGTAGATGCATTTAGCGTAATTGATTTAAGTGGTCAGTAGAAATATCTTCGGAGTAAATACATTATTATATGTCAACATACGTATATTTATTCAGCAAAGATATGTTCAGCGCAGATATATTAAGTGTAATAGGTTTAGATTCATCAGCGAAAATAGGAGTTTTTGAAAGCTATGTAAAATATAAATCATAATATAAAATGTATTCAGAGTTCTGAAGTATCTATACCATTGTAAATATAAGAGGTCAATGGCTAGGTAGATCTCTAGGCATACACGTTTTACTTGAAACCGCTGAATTCATTTGTCATGTTCAAATTACGTTTTGGCAGGTCCCGTAAACAGACAGTTTTTACTGTTATATAACTTAACAATGACATTATGTCTTCATTAATTTATGTACTTAATGGATATATAGACAAACCTATATATTTTTAATTTACGTATTTTCGAAAAGAAATTTTATTCGCCTTCAAAAAATAAACTCTAGTCCAAATGATGATGGTAATAATATTCGCTAGCCAAGATAACTAATCAAATGTTACCCTCTTTAAAATACATATCAGGTTTTTGACTTGCTAGAGCCCTTACATTGCAGGTACACATGTAGAGCTTTGTGTTCACCTGAAGTACAGTTTTCATGTTGATACCGCATAACACATAACACATCTTACACGACAGAAGCAGCCTTATATGTGCAAGAGAATCAACCTCATCTGGCGGTGTTCTTGCCTCAAACCAAAAGTAATTATTAGTATTATTTAGCTTATGTACTGCGAGTCAGATATATGTAATTAAGTGCTACCTGCTTTCTGTCCCCGACCAGTCCCAAATTGCAGACAACATAATTTGTAACGCATGTTATAAATAGAATTATGTGCTATTTTAAGTATTTCTTACTAAATATAAATTTTAAAACAAACGTTATTAATTACTAAAGAACCAATTCGCAATAAATAAATTTCCAAGAAAATTTAACAACAAATGAATTGAACTAATAATCAGGCATCCCAGTACACTATTAAAGATACCTAGGTAAACCACAAATGCCAGTTTAACTTCTGTTAGACCTTTTGCTATAGTTTCTGGGCTATATTGTCCGGGAACTAAACCATTGCTACTTGTAAAGAAATAAATATAGGGAACAGTATAAAGTTAGAAACATACAACAATGTGAAATTTTGCAGTGGAAAGAAAACATACAAAAGAATGTTATTGGTCAGTTCCAATGCTTATCGTAAAATATCTTATTTATATGATGTTAACACATACCTGGCATAGTGTTCCTGTCGTTGAACTGTAACAATCTAGGCAGGGTTAATTGATCTTTACAGTATGTGTCCTGCTATAGCTTGTTGATATCTGTTTGTGTGTTGGTGTATGTGTGAACGTTTCTGTAATATGTGTCAAGTGTCTAAATATCGTACAAACCTACACGCACTGTCATCTTAATTGAGTTTTAGAACAGGAATAAATATATATAATTTTGAATGCTGATATTTTCATTTTCGATTCAGTAGCTGATATAAACCGATACGATACGATAACACATATATGCAGGAGTAAATACAATTTTCGACAGCTAAAACCGTGTAAATTGCTCGCAAGAATACGATGAGAATACTTTTGTTTGACAGATACACGGATGTTGTAAAGGATGCTGATGGTTAATGCGGAAACTGCTTGACAGATAACGTAGAGTGGTCTAAATGGCAAGCAAGCTTAACATTTAATAGCAACAAAGGAGTGTTAGAGATGTGTTTAGATTTAATAGAAAATTGTTTATTCAAATAGAGGTACATTTTTCAATTTATTATATATATTTCATATCATTTGAAAATAGATCTACATGTATCTTCAAAAATTACAAAGATATCTCTATAAGAAACATCTAAAAGAAACACAGACAGACAGACAGACAGACAGACAGACAGACAGACAGACAGACAGACAGACAGACAGACAGACAGACAGACAGACAGACAGACAGACAGACAGACAGACAGACAGACAGACAGACAGACAGACAGACAGACAGACAGACAGACAGACAGACAGACAGACAGACAGACAGACAGACAGACAGACAGATAGACAGATAGATGGATAGACAGACAGACAGACAGACAGACAGACAGACAGACAGACAGACAGACAGACAGACAGACAGACAGACAGACAGACANGATAGATAGATAGATAGATAGATAGATAGATAGATAGATAGATAGATAGATAGATAGATAGATAGATAGATAGATAGATAGATTGATAGATAGATAAATAGATAGATAGGATAGGTAGATAGGTAGATAAGATAGATAGATAGATAGATAGATAGATAGATAGATAGATAGATAGTTAGATAGATAGACGGATAGATGGATAGATGGAAAGATGGATGGATGGATAGATGGATAGATGGATAGATAGATAGATAGATAGATAGATAGATAGATAGATAGATAGATAGATAGATAGATAGAGAGATAGATAGAAGGATAGATAGATAGATAGATAGATAGATAGATAGATAGATAGATAGAAAGAGTTAAATAAAATATACTTAAATAATTTAAAGATAACTTTTAATGAAATAAACATACATATAATGCATTTAAGGATAGTTTCAAATTCAATACATATATCTTTAAAAGACACATAGAAGAGATATAACTAACATTTTGGATTTTCTGACTGCATCAATATTCAATTTGAAAAAAACTTCCCGAGACCAAAAACTAATAAAGAAAAAAAAGAAAAAACACTGACCCAATTACTCTGAGCACAATATGCTTAAGAACTCTTATTTTATGCTGCAGTTTTCGGTGTCATACAGGTAACCTGATTAAGAAAATGTCCCCACCTTGGGGATAAGACAGACAAATCTCCTCTTAAAGGGTAAGATTCGTCAATGCCGAAGGCTAGATTTAAAGAATTATACCACAAGTATGGAGATTTTTAGCACGTCATCATCAGTTGGTGCGCTATTCAAATCACTCTTCGTCCATGGTCCGTCGTCCGTCATCTGCCGTCCGTCCATTCATTCCGTCTTATCGTCTGTACTTAAACAATTATTGTTCGTACTATTTCTCAGAAAGTGCTCAAATTTTCACGTGAATTTCCTAGTGATCCCAAGTAACGCATTTCAAAGTTTGTAACCGCTTTCCCAGAAGGTTTTGGAGGGAGATTTCTCAAATTCCATGTAAGGTTTACCCATTGTCATTCTTTACGCATATCGATCTTAGGTGTGATCAGCAAGTCAAGTTGGCTTACAGGCGGCCATCGTGAACTTTGAGAGTTCAAGTTTGTTTGCGCTATTTCTCAGAAAGTACCGAAAGTATCTTCCTCAAACTCAATATGGAAGTTCCTTTTGGTCTTTACTTGTGCATGCTTATATTTTTGATATTTTCAGAAAAACAAAAAGGCAACCAGGGTGTGTCATTTTGTATTTTGACTATTAAGATATTTTTACTTTCTGAGAGAGAACCGAAGGGATCTTCTTTGATTGTGATACACAGGTTCCTCTTTGTCTATAACTATGCATGATTATTTTTGAGACTGATTTCACAGACAGTGACAAAGGGATCTTTCTCAAATATGATATGGTGGTTCGCCTTGGTCTAATTTGTGCATTTCTGAGACTTATTGGAAAAAAACAAAATGGACGAGAAGCATCCATGATTTAATTCAGTTTTAATTAGGTATTCGTTATTGATATTTCACTGGAAGTTCTACAGTGAACGTTCTTATTAAATTTGATTTGTAAGTTTCCCGTTCTGAAGTTGTGCACATTTACTTTTGAAACTGATCAGATAAACAGAATTGCCTTGGATTTTAACAGAAAGTACTGGAGATGGATCCGTCAGAAATTGTATAGGAATGTTCCTCTTGGTCCCTTATTAATGAATATCCTATATCCTATAGGTAATTCATTCCTTCTGTTACAAAACCTTTGTAAGAATCATAAATTCTAGCAGTTATGCAATTCCCATACAATAACATTTGCCATAGACAGTTGCTAAATGCAGACAGAATGACATAACCATGTTTTACCCATGGTCCTAAGTAACGCATATTTTATTTTGGGACTGAGTGATAAACCAAAATGGCCGACATATGACTAGGGGATCACTTTCCTACCTTTCACATGTATGTCCTCATTGTCATTTGAATTTTAAATATTTGAATAATCGAGAAACCAAGATGGTGGAGAGGGGCCATTTTATTTTTTTAGAGTTTCAGTTTGTACTTTTGTCACTTCTAAAAAACTACTGTAGGGATCATTATCAAATTTCACATATAGGTTGTTCATGTTCTTTAGTTGTCCATGCTTAACCTTTTTTACAATTGAAAATCAAATTTCCCAAATTTTAGACGTAGGTTCCCTATTGTCCCTAGTGATGCATCTCAGTTTTTGGGACATACCAAAAAGCAAAAAGGCTGCGGGAGACCATGTTGGACTTTAAGAATTAAAGTTTATTTTTTGCTATTTCTCCAAAAGTACTGAAAGCCATTTCTCCAATTTCTAAGACGGTTTCCTTTGGTTGTTGGATGTGTGTTTTGAACTTTGGGATGTTGAAAATATGAGGGCCATCAGGTGGCATCCTGGGTTTTGATTGTTGAATTGTGCTGTGGAGCTTTCTTAAAACGTACTTGAACGATTCTACGAAAATTTCACATGTATATTCCCCAAGAGCTTTTATGTGTATAGTGCATTTTGGACTTGATCACAAAAAAGATGGCAGACAGACGACTATTTTTGATTTTTGAGAGTATGGTACATTCAAGTACCGAATCCAAAGAAGGTAAATATGAATAACCGCTTCCGTATTTATTCCTCGAAGTATTATTATCGTCGTGGAAAAGTTTGCCTGTATTAGCAAATAAACGATCGTCTCTTGGAATGGAAGATGACTACGCCTTTGCTTATCCGTATCAATCTTTATATGATATCAATTTGTTTACATTGATTGTTTTTAATGGAGAGCTTCGTAATAAATAGGATGAAATTCGTTACTAACGAAGTGTCGAGGTTTGTCTTCAATGGGAGCTATTTTTACCGACGGGACCCTCGTGTCGCCTACCATTTCAGGTTCTACCAACGTAAAATGGACACAGATAGCATCAAAACCTTGTCTGACGTCTGCCATGTATTCCCCCTGTGCGTTTTTCTTCGGACAATCTCGTTCTTGGAGCCTATCAATTTTGCTTATATTTGACTCACAACGATACATAAGCCAGCTGAAATCACCAATGTCACTTAACAAAAGCCTTTGGGGTCTAAATGTTGCAATAATGGGTAAAACATTCCTTGGGATTTTTACCAAATATCGTTATGTTAAATATGATTTTCTTTGAAAAGGATGGATAAGGTACTAGATAACCGGTATTGCTACTGAATGAGCAGTCCGCAAAGACTCCTGTTGATTTCAAGCACTAAAGTTAAAGATGCTTCAAATTACAACGGGGAACAAAATGACGATGTGACATTTATCAGGGAAACGTTTAATCAACTAATAACCACTCTGTTCCTACATTAGACTTATTGTCAGCAGACTCGTTCATCTTTTTCTTCTGTAATTCGTGAAATAAATTGACATTTGTAATTCTTATCTTTAAGCACATGGTTCATTCTTTTTTGAAAGGAGCATTTTTGATTGGATATTTTGCAACATGCAATCTGATTGGAAGAGTAACGGAACCTTTTACACTTATTGCCCTGGTGCGAGGGAGACTTGAAGAGTTGTTTCCCCGAGATAAATCACACCAGTGCAATAAGTGTTTTATTATTCCGATATTCCATCTGTGTAGTCTGTGTTATATACATATAGCAAAAATACATCAACGCTAGGCAATGCAACGATCCCCTGTGTTGTCACTGTTGTGACTGATCTGTTTGCCCTTATTTCATTAGGTCTGGTAGCATATATATGCTACAAATACCTATCACTGTCAGTGTTTTTCATTTGACATCAAATTGAACAACAATTATATCGCCTTTCAAGTTCTTCAGATGTTGGGGGTCGGAATCTCCCGTTTGCAGCCATTGTTGATGTTTGAGTGTCGTCCGGAACACATCGGGCGTTAGAGAGTCTTACAAAGAGAGACAACTCGTCCGATAATGTGCGAGGGGTTCCCAGAGGGATACTCGACAGGGAAAATGGATTGCGTGAGGGATACCCGATGTTTTGTAGCCCTGTCATGTGATGTGTGTAAACCAATCAGACACGCTGTGAAGTCGATGAGGGATAATAAAATTTGATGTAACGGTAAAAAAGGAAACAATTGTCTGTCGGTTGCTATTTGGTCCCCTTTTTTTAACAATCATTGTACAATTGTAATATGGGAGTTTCGAATTAGTCCCTAGTATTATCACCGTTTTTCTCTCCTTTCGACTT